CAAATGAGGTGCGGTTTTCGGCCCGCGATCGTGATCGAACGCTCTAGATGATGGAGAAAGTTTTGGTGGGTTTTGGGCCAAATTGGAAGGGTGTTGGGCTGCAACACACACGAGGCCTTCTCGGTCCCTCGGTTAACCGTTGGAGTATCAAACGAAGTCCAAATGGTACGAAACTTGACAGGCGGTCTACTGGTAGTAAACCAAGGCCGCTTGGCAAGTCTCGGTCTAATCCGGAAATTTTCAACCCCCACACACGAAAAGAAGGTAGAAAGGACCACCGGAGGAGATAGGAGCGCCGGAATGCAAAACGGACAACGGGGAAAATGCTCGGATGCATGAGACGAACACGAATGCAAATGCAATGCACATGATGACATGATATGAGATGCATGACAACGACCCGAGGAAATAAAATAACTTAGCGCCGGAAACGGCAAGAGTTGGGATACATATAAGGTAAATTACATCCGGGGTGTTACAAGAAGGTTCAGTACCAGGCATGAGAGGGATTGTGTGGTCACACTCCCTATGTGGAGGCAGGTTTTGGGGTTCCTCAAATAAATCTGCATATTCCATTAAAATTTCTGCACTTGAGGAGGAGTTTTGAAACCAGCAGGAGCTTGTAGAATGATATTATGCACCTGCAGCAAAAATGCTTCAGCTCCCTTATCCAGTAATTTGTTCATTTTCTCAGCTGGCACCTCTTTAACTTTCTCTGGTGTGTTAAGATTGCAGCAGTAACTGTTGTCTTTCCTTGCAATGAGAAACTGAAAGTGTTCTCTGGTATGTTGAAGACTACTGGACTCATGAGAGTAAACCAATCGTATCCCAGAATCACATCATATCCAGGCAAAGGTAAAACTCTGAAATTGTACTGCAAGGTGTGTTTGGCCAGTTGGAATTCACAGTTGGGTACCACAGCTGTGGAAGTTAATTTACCCCCACCAGCTGCTGCAATAAGTTTGGGTTTCACTACAATAAGTGACAATTTGCTTTAACAGCAAATTCTTGACTTATAAATGAAGCACTGCTGCCTGAATCCAGTAAAGCAGTTGCTCTTTTTCCATTTATATGAATAATCATAGTAGGTGTAGGTACTGCTATTTGCTGGCCTAATGCATGAGCAGTAATGAACATTGCCTAATCCCCTTCTTCAGGAATTTCTTCTTGCTCTTGATGTAACACTTCCTCTTCCAAGGTTTCTTGCTCTACACTATCTGTTTGCAACAAGTGAACATTTGGGATTAACTTGCACTTATGACCATGTACCCATTTGTCCCCACATCTCCAGCATTCTCCCACTTTCCTCGGTTTTGTGAAAGTGTTTGTGTTGTGTTCTACTTGCTTTGCTGGAGTATTTTGTTGCACAGGAACAGTGTTGTTGTTAGTTTTGTTCTGAAAGGCACCAGTGTTCTTCTGATAATAATTGACAAAGGTACTGGTATTTTTCTTGGGCATAGCACTGATAGGTGGATGATTGGGTTCTACTTCTTTTGCTAGACAGTAGGCATCAGTTAAGGACTGTGGTCTCAGTGGTCTCAGCTGGAATTTAATTCCATCTCTGAGACCATTGACATAGCACCTTATGAACCAGGTTTCTCCTAGTTCAGGATTTTCTTCCAGAACTTCTGCCATCAGATCCTCAAATTGCTTTGTATATGCAACAACTGTGTTGTTTGCTTGTTTCAAGGAAGTGAATTTTTCTGTAAGATCATATGATCCTTGTTCTGAGAACCTCTTAACTATTTCTGCCCCAAATTGTTTCCATGAGAGTTGTTTCTTGAGCAGCCCAGATCTTCTCAACCATACATCAGCCTCATCCACTATATATAGTTGAGCTAATGACACTTTATACTCTTCTGGAGCAGCAGCCATCTGGAAGTATTTGTTGCCTTGTCTGATCCATCCCACTGGATCTTCTCCTGAAAATTTGGGAAACTCCATTTTAGGACCTTTTGTTAATGCTCTCATGAACTGGGCTTGCATGTCTTGTTCATAATTTCTGTGATAACCCTGCCACATTTGTCTTTCTCTATTCTGCTGATAGAACTGGTTGAATGCAGGAGTATGAACCTGTTGTCTTGCTGCTGTAGGGGTGACCACTGTACTATGTTGTTCCTGTCTTCCTTGGTTTGCAAATCCAGGAGGACCCTCTGCTCTATTCACTCTGATTGGTGGCAGATTCTGAAGCTGGAGTTCTTCTAATTGTTTAGACTTTTCTTTCTCTGCTGCTAGTTGTTTTCGTAACTGCTCCAATCTTGCCTCTTGTTCTTGAGAGTGATCTTGATTTAGTGTAGGGGATTTGGGTACTTCTTGAGAACTAGAAGGACGATCTGCTTGTTGTGTAGATTGAGTTGTTTTCACCAGAGTTTGCAGGGCATTACTGATTACTGACAACTGTTTACCCAAGTCCAGCACCACTCGTTCCACATCGCCTACAGTGGCAGAGATCTCTCTCTGCTTAGACCCAATTTCTTGCACCTCCGTATGAAGCTTTGACACCTGAGTCTGTAACTGACCGTTGTCCTTTTGCAAGACTCCAAATTCATCACGTATGGCTAATATTTCCTGGAGATCAGTGTCATCGATTACCTTGTTACGCCCCATCGCCTTGATCCGAGGTATGGGTACGGAATTTACCACTGAAGGCTCAGCAACCCTTCCCAATACCACAGATCCTGCCGCCGCCACTGATCTCGCCTCCCTGGCACACAGATCGGAGCTTAGAACGCGGAATTTTACCGAACGAACAAGATGTTCGAACAACCGCTTCTGCTCGACCGATTTGTGCCCGAATTAACACCGCCGCCTGCGCCACCACGCCGGACCCCGCCGCCAACGCCGCCTCGCCGTTGCCGCTCTCGAAAAGGGTGGGATTCGCCTACCGGCGAAAAATTTCACCAGCAGAGCGTTTCCGCCGAAGAACGATGGCTCATGATACCAATTTGTGAGGACCGAGAGGATCTATAAACTAGTATAGGAGAATTATAGGTATGAGATGCACGAATTGTGGCCAAAACCGGATGTATATTCGGAGTAATTGGAGCTCAAGTGTTAGGGTTCTAGCCCATGATTTAGAATTGGGGAAAAAGTGATCCGATCCCAGCCACACCCCGGCTGTTATAAGTGAAAAGCTACAGCGACAGCTGGCAAAGTAAATCCAACGGTGGATATCAGTCCCACGCAGGGGATCCATCGTGGTCTTCCGTTAACTAAATCGGTATTGCCGGAAATGCTACACCTCACTGTCACTTGTGCCTGACACACGGCGACGGCGGCTGGATCAAACTAAGAGAATCGACGATGGCGCTCTGCCACGCAGGTATTCAACACACTTCCCCAAATCGAGCTGAAATGCTAGGTCTTGATACAAAATCAGGGGTACACGTGCGGGGGCTCGATGAGTGGCGCTCGTGAGGCAGAGGGGAGTCAATGGTGCTGTGATTTTGGGGAAGAGGGGCTCGTCAGGGCGGATTTCCTTGTTTCAGTGCAGCAAATCCACAGTGAGAGCAAATCCAATCTGAGATGGGTGTGATCTGGGGCTTCACAACAGCAAATGTTGTTTTTCAGACTGGGAGTGGTGCTTCATTGCAGCACAGACTGGGATGTGCTTCTTTTATTTTGCTTTTTCTAGGCATGGGCTTGATTTTACCCAATTGCGAGTGATGTTTCATTGCAGTACAGACTACTGTTGTTTTCTTTTCTTTTCTAGGCATGGGCTTGATTTTACCCAGCTGAGTGTTGTTTCATTGCAGTTCAGACTACTGGTGTTTTCTTCTTTCTTCTAGGATTCCCTTTGTCAAAATAAGGCTTCTGATTACATGCATGGTATACTGGATAATATGATAATGTATCATTAGTAGCTTTGTTTCACTAGCAGGGTTACCTTTTGTGTAATGCTTCATTAATGCTGGATAATGTAATACTCGTGTGATTGTGCCTATCATAGTTCTTGATTGATTGCTTCGTCAGCCTAACAGAGTTGCATCTCTTCTTCATTGCTAATTAATCATGTTGGTCATTGGTCGCCTTCGTGCATGCTGTCTGAACTCCGAAGTATCGTGATATCTCTGACAGACAAACACAATATTCATGCTCTAGCGGATAATGTCTGTACAATATTCACCAGTTGCGTAGCATAGTTGTAGTTTACTTCAGCCTTTATTTGACTCCTGCTGCATCCTTTCCTACTACAGTAGTTGTTCTTAGTGTAGATGCCTGCTAGTAGCCTTTGTATTCTAGGATAGTTGTAGTTTACTTTCTCAGTAGTAGCTGCGTGCTTTTGTTATCAGTGGCTAATGGATTACATGCATGTCGTGGGGTTTTATATCCACGGTGCTGTGTTTTTTTGTTTTATATTGGTAGTATGAAAATGTAGCGGTAGTGGTTTTTTATCTAGCAAATACGTGTTTCAGCAAGTAGTTGCCATTGCAGAGATAGTGTGGTTCTTATTCGGTTTTGGTGTACTACTGTTGTTGCATAGGTTTTAGAAGTACCACATTTTCATTTTTGTTGTCGTTTTCGCTTTCTCCTCGCAGAGCCTCAATAATGGATAATGCAAAATCTATTAATGGATCATTCTCAACACGGGTTTCAACAAGCCACTTGGGTACAGTTGCTAAGAAAAATCTGGACAATAATAAGAGGGCAATCTTAATTGGTTGCTGCTCCAAGAGCGGACCAGCAGCTGCTATGACAGCCTGTGGCCTGCTGCTAAGCCAGGGGTGTGTCGGATGGGCGGCCGTTGCGACGGGGGACCGATGATCCTGCTAGGGGCTGCCGACTGGCTGCTGCGAACCACCCGGGGATGCTGCGACTGGTGCGCGAATGGGACACGTGGTGGTCGAGCTTATTGCTGGTTCCTATGACGCTCAGTAGTAAGCGAGGTGGGTGAGACTTGGAAGCATCACCGGGTCGCTGGAACATCACTGTTGCTGCAATGGAGCATTCGCTGAGCCACCGGAACATTGTCAAGTTGTCGGAGCATCACTCGTGCTGCGATGGAGCATCGTCGGGCCGTTAGAAGATCGGTGGTGCTGCAACAGAGCATCTTCGGCCATCGGAGCATTGCCGGTGCTGCGGTGGAGCATCGCCGAGCTGCCGGAGGATCGTGGGAGCATCAACGATGCTGTGATGGAGCATCGCTGAGCCGCCGGAGGATTGTCGGAGCATCGCCGAGCCGTCGGAGGATTGTCGGAGCATTGTTGGTGCTGCGATGGAGCATCGCCGAGCTGCCGGAGGATCGTCGGAGCATTGCCGAGACGCCGGAGGATCGTTGGTGCGACAGTGGAGCATCGCCTGGCCATCGGAACATCGCAGAAGCATCGCTGGCGCTGCAATGACACATCGTCGGGCTGCCGGAGCTGCAGAGCATCGTCGGTGGAGCAATGAAGCATGACTAGTGATGTTGGTGAATTACACGCTCGTCACCGGGGAAGCAGTAGCATGGAGCTTGTACAGGCTACAGCTGATGCTCTGTTGGTGGCTGGAGGCGTCGCGCGGAGACACGGCAGTGATGCTGGTGAAAGTTGGGATGGAAGTGATGGCGTGGTTCTATCAGGGAATCAAGCGACCCAATTCAGATTTATTGACGCAAATCAACGGCTGGCTAGGCGGCTGATCTTTTCCTAAGATCAGCCGGCTGACGCCTAGCAGCCGCCAAAATTAAGTTGTTACTGTGATGATCCGCGGAGATCAGATTTTTATTTTGATTATCCAATTATCTTTGTGGCAAATTTATGTTGTGGTTGTGATGAACCATTGTTGCTATGATGTGATGAGCTGCAAAGATCATGTTTTTATGTTGGTTATCCAATAGTACAAAGGCAGTCCCAATCTGCCAAACAATATTTTTATGTGCAAGGGAATGTGGGGATTGGGATGGGAGGGAACGTGGGGGATTTGAGGGCTGGGATTGGAGGGAGTGTGGGGGATTTGAGGGGGTTGGGTGAAAGGAAGGGGATCACCAAATCCCCTACAACCCCAACCTCTTGAGGGCTGGAAAAACCCTTGTGCCAAACAAGGCCCGAGTAAGAAATAAAATACTTAGTTGAGCAATTTATACTTGTTGAAGAAACCCGTTGGTGCTAATTTAGTTTATCTAGTCTTAATTTCTAATTAAGCGTGCGATGACTGATGATTAAATAGGGTATACATGCTCTTCCATTGCTCCAATTTGGTCAGAGGGACTAACGCTTGTCTGTGGTCGTCTGGCGGCGTTGCAACTCGTGTGGCAATGACGATGGTGGCAAGAAGAACAGGGTCACGGCATGTTCTTCTGTTCGACACATCCTAATCGTGAAGTCAGAGCTTTGACACGTCCTAACCGTGAAGTCGGAGTTTGTAGCGTTGCAGGCCGACGCGGTCGCAATGATGCCATCTGATGGGCAAGTCAAGCTATGCTGGTGCATCACATAGGCCGAAAGGTTCTCATGTGTTGTTCATTTGAATGGGTCTCGAGTTGCTTGCTTGGGTAGAGGTGAAATTGTAAGCAACCTTGACAGTGTGTGTCTTATGGGTAGCCAGGTCGGTCGAGATGCTCTATTGTGTGGGCATCTTTTAACGGTTTTTGCTCATGTTTCTAGAAATTAACCAGACAACTCTCTTGTATCTTTTTCTAGTGAATCGGAGCACCAAGGAACATGACGTAAAAAATATTGCTTTCAAAGGAGATGTGCATATCCGGTTATTCCTGTACTAGAACCCTATTATTTATTGCATCTAAAAGAAGAGCCCTCTTATTGACTAGGAACATGCTGTGAGGGGAAATTAAACAGCACGACTTGACTAATAAAGTATCTTGGCCATGCTGCATGCGCCCATACTATAACGAAACGATCTGTGCTTGATCACCTTATTAAGCCCTCTGCCACAGCGCTGAATCTCCACGCCAGTAAACATCACTAACTTGTCGACAATGGCAGTAGTGTCATGGAAACAGCACATCTGGCAGCACGTCTCCTGCGGCCTTGTTGACATGATCGACTTGGCGACACAGAAACGACCGGCACCTAGGTGCAGGAGGTGCGATCCTAGCTCGGTACCCTCAGGGGCAGCAAATCCCTCCCACTCTTGGAGTACCACCGGCGGCGTCTGCTTTGCCGAGGCAGCACCCAGGTCTGATGCGCAGAGGACGCCACCACCCTTTGCCGAGACACCAAACCAGAGATCGTACTCCGGAACATATTCTGCAAGTCCTTTAAACGGCAGCAGCCAGGCACCAGTCTTGCTCCACTTACCGCTCACCGTGTCCAAGCAGTAGGTGCCGAGGCTCTCTGTGGATATCAAGATGCTTGAGCCATTGACCACAGTGCACGCGGTGATCACACCAGAACGGTCGACACCATAGCCAGGGGCATAGACATAAGGCGGCGGGGGGATGGAGTGCCAGAAAAAGTCCACCCCCTTGAACATTTTAGGCCTTTCGCCATACATAAGCGCCTCGAAAGATTGATGTTCCATCTTTTGATCGTTCTTAGGGATCGCCTCCATGACCAACAGGTTGTCACCAACCGCGAGGGGCACTGATTTCCACTTGGCCTTTTTGAGGCTTGGCAACATGCGGACAGCTTGCAGGCCGTCATCATATAAGACGGCTCGACCTCTCTCGTCTGTGCAGACGATCTTGTTCCTGCTGCTGCCGCATGAACTCCATTACCTCCCGTCTATGCTCGGACCGAGGAGGGTGGAAAGCCATTGTTGGTGGCGGCACAGAACGGTCCTCCACTGCCGCAGCCGCGGAGTCAGGTGCACCCTTGGGGTAAAACAATTGTGACGCCTTGATGCGGTGCAGAGTGTATGAACTCCTTTTGACGTTCATGACCGTCATGTACAGGAATTTTCGGTTCATTGTTCAAAGACAGACTTCTCTATGGATCAATTTTGCCAGTCCCTTCTTCTAATAATCGCCTAAGAGACCACACGATTATCTGAAATACAAATTACATGCGTTAAGAGAAAGAACAGTAAATTCAAATCAAAGTATAGTAATAAATAATATAATAGAGCAACCCTGCCAATAAACAAAAAAAAGCAGGTCAAAAAATAAATGAAAAATAAGGTCGTGGCTTTAATTACCAATCATACTAGTGTCAGTCCACTAAAAAAACACCAGTTGTAAATTTGTGTTAACCTATACAGCTTCCAAATACTAGCCAGTAAGGTCCTTCTCTTTCAGTTACTATACTGGCTGCTTCACAGAACAATGACCCAAGGCTACTGACTAGCGGTAGCAGGTTTCATTATTTTTGCACAACTATACCACAAATCATACACAAGTACTATTGCTCCAACAGAAGGAAAAATACTTGGTGAAATTTCTAGGCTATTTAGCCTCTGTATATACTTTCCCTGTCATTTTAAGTAGGTGGTCACAGGTATACGGTATGGGCAAAATTCAAAACAACCTGCAGTCCCTAAGAACAAATGCAAAGGTACTGTATAAAAGTAGAAAAAATAATACTGACACTATAGTTTCTTGGCAACATCACGTGAACTAGTACTTGGATTTGTAGAATAAAACATACACATGAGATTATAAAAGGCTCTACGCCTTAATTTGATATGCAGCAGGCTTCTCTAACCTTAACCTGTACCCTCAACTAAATCACTGATGGATGGATCAAATCTATACTAGTAGAACATTTAATACTGAAGCAAAGTAGCCATGTGCTAGTGCTAACCACCTTCCAGGCTTGCTCAATTTCTTGCTGGAAATTAAAGAAGCGAGGGCTCCAAGGCCAGCTAGAAGGAAGCAAAGCATTCGTAGGAGCAGCGCCTCTCGCACTTTGGGGATGGTGCGGCAAGTACCCACAAGGCGGCGACGACGACCCTCGATGTGATACGGGGACGGGGACACGGCAATTTATAGAAACAGCAATATGACGGGTATATATATGAATAATTAATAGAATATCATGTAATAAGTCCAAAGAATAACTGATTGTGTGACATGATTTCCAACTACAGCCCCATTTGTTGCATCCATGCCTCTTTTCCAACTACAGCCCACAGATGCCATGTATGTATGTCACTGCCTAGCCGGAACAACAGCAACAGCAGCAGGTGAGCAGGAGCAAGCAACAACAGTATACTGTACGAAGCGAAGCAGCAGCAAGCCAGCACCCAGCGCCACTAGAGGAGGACGACAGGCAGGAGGCAACAGCATGGCAGCACCGAAGGAGAGCAGGGACTTGAGAAAGAAGAAGTTACCGTGCTGGCGGCAGGCGGCTACAGTCTACAGGAGGCGGCAAGGTGATTCCAGGCGGCGGCGGCGCCATCACGCGGTCGCTCGATCGAATCCCATGTCCTATGCAATGGAGCGAACTGAGAAAGACCGATGGCTGCTAGGGTTAGGAGGTGGGCTTCTATTGCGCTCGCTGCGCTCCCGTGTCGCCGGCATCCTGGCGGCGCGTCAGCTCTTTTTTTTTAATCAAATCAGAAAAACAGGATACTCTGGTGACACGTGTACCGGCCACGTATCCTGCGTACGCGGACACGGCACATGTGCACATATCAAGCAGCCGCCGCCGCTACAATAAACATTAGATCGTTTTCATCCTGTCCCTGGCGGCTGGAACCCTAGCCGCCGTCAGGAAAGGCTAATCTTCCAGCGTCGTCCTCCGGCGGCTCCCCTCCGCCGACGACTTTGGTCATCGATGAGGAGGAGGGTCGCCGGATCCATGCGTGTGGATCGTTTTTACTCCCTCATAGTCTAGGTTTTTAGGTTGCTCATCGTCTTTACTTCGATGGCGACGATGACGCGGCTGAATAAAGATTCTTCCGATCCTTCCCCGATGAGGCCATCGGTCTTATGGTTGGGGATGGATTTAAAAACCAGTCTGTTCAAGTAAGGATGGTGTGGCGGCGGTGGCATCCTCGTGGTGGACCTGTGTCCTCGGGCTCCGCCGTTGCGACGGCGTTTGCTCCAGCGTCGGCGTGGAGCTTGGGGGGTAGTCCAGGAGCGGATGCAGATTGTGGTCTGCATCGACGACATCTGGAAGACGGAACATGTGTTGAGTTCGTGATTCGTGGATGGCAGCTATGGTTTCCTTCTGCGGCGTCTTAGTCGCAGTGGGATGTCAGATCTAGAGTTCGATGGCGTGTCCGGGGTGTTGTCCCGGTCTGATTCGTTCAACGGTAAGGGTTTCACTTTTGGTGAGCCACCTTGGAGGTCCGCAAAGCTGCATATCAGCGATGGAGCCGCGTCGAGCTCGGGTGAGGAGGTGATTCGTCATTCTTTTCTTCGGTGGCTGCTGTTGTGGTGCCGGAGGCAGGTGATCGACGTTGGTGTAAAGCTCAGAGATGTTCTGTTATCTTTTCAGTTTTGTCATGTCGGTCTTTACGTGACTTGTACTTTAATCTTTATGATAGGAATGAGACATGTATTACCATGCAAAAAAACATGTGCACGTATCAATGCTTCGGAGAAGAAGCTAGGAAGAGATATAAGCTACTACTCCTACCTGAGGCTGAGTATGGCTGCGCCAATGGATCGCGCGTGGCCCGCTGGCAGAGCCAGGAATTTGCTCGTGGGTATTCTTTTAAATTTTATTTTTTGCCAAAGTAATATAATAGAACAACAAATCTGCAGTAAAATGGCGAAATCAATGACTCAATGACCATGCATCGATAATAGTAACAAAATATCATTGTGGCAATATCTCTAACAATTAAGAAAGATTACAAACAACAAAGGATATTGCCAGTGAGCAACCTATAGGCAATGTGGCAGTGACAAACAATTACAATTTACAACGTGGCAATGGCAGTGTTTCACTCTTTCAGACTACAACCTATAGCTACAATTAGTGGAAGTGACAAACAATTACTTCCTCCGTAAAGTAATATAAGAGTGTTTAGATTACTAAAATAGTGATCTAAACGCTCTTATATTAGTTTACAGAGGGAGTACAATTTACAACGTGGCAGTGGAGTGTTTCACTGTTTCAGACTACAACTATAGCTACAATTGGTGGCAGTGACAAACAATTACTCCCTTCGTCCCAAAATATAAGAACGTTTTTGAAACTAGTCTAATGTCAAAAACATTCTTATATTTTGGGACGGAGGGAGTACAATTTACAAGAACTTCTATTAGTGGCAATGTGGCATGGCAGTGGCAGTTTGCAAAAAAAAAAACCAGATTTGTTGAAAAAACAGAGGAATACTACCTTGGTGGTTCCGTGATTGGTGTGGATGGACGGCGGACTGACGCGGCGACGCCTGACGGCGAAGAACGCCGGAGGTAAAGGGCGCCCGGAGCAGTGGCGGTGCAAGGGGGAGGCTCGCAGCCCACTGCCGCAACCCCTCACGAACCGCGGAGGACGGAGGCGGAGGGGAAGGCCAGAGCCCAGAGGGTAGGGGAGGGCCGGAGGACAGGGAGAGGG